CACACACACACACACACACACACACACACACACACACACACACACACACACACACACACCTTAAGTGTTGATGGAAGTTAGCATCAAACTGGTTCCCTCCACTAAAAACACAGATTATTATTTTTTTCCATAGGATTTTGGATTATTGCAGAAAATGAACTCTGTAACAAACAATTATGAAACTCACGTTTTGTTCACAGCAAGATCACAAATTAAATGTGTAGGTCTGGGTCGATATGGAGAATATAACGTTTTTTTACCAAATACCACGATATCGATATCGTCAGGTGCTTCCACAAAAAATGAGATTTTTGATAAATAATCATCAGTAACGTGGATTTGATTCTTGTTATCATGCGACTGCAACGCAGCCTTTAAAACCAGGAACACTGATGTCTTTTCACCATAAATAAAATCTAAAACGATATCGGTTTAATATCAATATATTGGTTTAATATCAATACATCGCCCCGCCGTGGTGTGAATGTAATCAGCAGAAGTACAACGCTAACGCTCGCATATAAACTAACCTTTGGTGACGCAAACCCAACGAGGACGTTAAACTCGTCTCAACTCTCGTTAGCAATCGTCTTTTAGTACGCGTAGAAGCTTCTGAGTTCATCAGAGGGGAGTTTACCGACGTATTTTACATCGTAGAACAAAACGTTAAAATCTCTTCAGCTGGCGTTAACCACAGAACTTATTTCAGACATCTCACCAAGAACACACCGAAGTTAAGACGAGGGGACAGGAAGTGTTTCGGGACTCGTTCCTGGAGCTCTCTATACTCGAGGATTCTTTTATCCAAAACTAAACAACAAGGAGGATGATATATTACAGGCTTTGTGTCGCCCACATGATGTACTAGTTACTGTACAGCAGCACTTGTATTCAAACTAATTGGATGTTGCCGATTCTGTAATTCTCCAGCTGGTTTCTGTTGAGCTGTGCGCCCCCCGGTGGTCAGGAGGTGATATGGTCGTAACACCGACGCAGCTCTTCAGTATTTGTGTCGGGATGAACCGTGTTCTGGTTCTGACCTCAGACACACTGGATTGTAACTAGGACATTAAAGTAGGAGTTCTAGCCCTTTGTATGTTAAAAAAAAAAAAGATACAATTTCTACACAGTTCATTGGAAGTGAATGTAAACACCTTAAAGCTCAGAGTCATAGTTCAGTTAGACTGTCTCTGCGTTGACTAACGTTGAGTTGGGTAGTTGAAGCATCAGGATTCAGTGGGCGAGTTTAGGGAACCAGGACTTCCAGTCAGCGATTTAAAGGCCTGTTTTCTGTCAGATGGATGTTAATGGACATTAACCCCGATAATAAAGTAGACGTCTCCTAACATTCGTACGTGTCCTCGCCTGCTATGAAATAGATCAAACTCGGTTAATAGATCTCAGTAAACAAAATAAAAGTTTGCTCAAAGAATCTAAACTCTGGATCTCTCCAAACTCGTTGCGTTTTGCCCGAAACCCCAAAATCCTCGACCGCCAGATGTTTTATTTGTCGCTGTCACGATCTCCGTGCAGCTGCCTCTCGTGCTGCCGCTTGGTGATGATGTATTTGAAGAACTCGTAGACGGACCAGCTGATGGCCGTGGAGGGCATCTGGTAGATGATCCGGGCTTGGCCGCCTTTGAAGAAGGCCGGCGCCCCCCCCATCCTGTACACCGTCCGAAAAGCCTCTCCGAGGCCGGAGATGTGCCGGACGCCGGCGGACGCTCCCACCGCCGCCCCGCCGGCCGTCGCCGCCTCGGCCCGGATCACGTGTATGGCCTGAGCCTCCTGCGTGTTGAGGAGCGTCTTGCAGACGTCGAGCGGGGTGGTGATGGCGGCGGCGAGGGCTCCGGCCAGCGCGCCGGACACGACGTGGGACGACGGGTTGTACTGTCTGTGCGGGTTGAGCAGCTCCTGGAGGTACTCGTAGGTCATGAAGTGGAGCGCCTGGAAGGGCACGTTCATGGTCAGCTGGGTGGTGAAGCTGCGGTAGAACGCGGCCGGCCCGTCGTGCCTCAACAGAGACGCCGCACAGTGAAGCACGCCGCGGTACGGAGAGTTGAACATCTGCATCCGCTGTTTCACAACTGAAGAGAGAAGAGACCAAAAATAAATGTTTGTATTTTACGTGATTGCTCAATCTAACGGGGAACTGGAAAGAGGAACTCTGAGGAAAGCAGGAACACTAGAAAGAAAGAAGTGTAACCAAACTGTCTCAAAAACACCCGGTTTTCTTAATACAATTATTATAATTATGAGCACATCTCTGACAAGACAAAAAGTGGTGGTTTTGTGTGATTTGTTTCTACATATCTGTCGATTCAATCAACTAGTCGAGAAGTTGACGTGTTAGTGGACTAAGAATTCCTCTGCTGGAGAACAGCCGTACTTATTTTGCTCAAAACAGTCTGTTGGTCTCAACAGAAATATGATGATTAATACATATAAATGAATGTCCCTCATAGACTGAACTGTCGCAGTAACGTTTGGGTTTACAGCCGAGTCTGTAGCTCCATCAAGTGTCCTGATGGTAGAATGACACCGTCGGGGATTTAAGGGTCTTTGAAAGGAGGACTTCTATAAATAGACCAACAGAGAGGCTTCACAGTGCAGAAGAAAAAGGAGCTAAAACAATTTTTATGGATTAAAACAAATCTTGCAATTATTAGTGTCAATGATGCATTATTAGAGTTAGTGTAAACAGCTCATAATTCATCTCTAATATTTACTTATGTTGTACGTCTCCTCACACATCATGATAACTTTATTATCCACCTTCACTAAATCCTCATTTTCACTGAGCAGAGCCTGAAGGCACCATAATGTAACATAAGTGAACCTCCAGTTGGTTAGCCGTTAGCGGTGCTGCTAACGTAACTAGCTCTCCTGTTGATTTAAACACTGACTGATTGTTTACCTTCGGCTGGGTTCATGATGACGTCATGCAGCACTGTGGCCATGCAACCGGCCACTCCTGTAGAGCAGAGAAAACCATTAAGATGAAGCTCAAGCCTCAACAACGTCCTCCACTGTCATCAAACTGACATTTAAAATCAAACAAGTGCCTTAAAAGGAGTTGATAAATAGTGTTTTAGAAGCTATGGTACATTTGAGCATCATGGGTGAAAAATGTTCACCTTACCATTTGCAAAGTGGCTGTTGGCTCCAGGGTGGATGGTGTCGCTGAGCGAGAACTTGATCTTCTCGTAGCTGGCGAAGTAGAGCGCGTGAGCAGGCCCCGCCCCCACCGCCAGCACGTTCACCCCTCTGATTGGTCGCCACACGCCCTCCGTCCGCACAATCTGCTGCAGGGCGTCCATCACGTTCCTGTAGCGTGCCCCCGGCTCCGGGTGAAGGCTCTGCATGCGAGTCTGGTGTGAGAGGAACAGACAGATGCGTAAGACTAGATGTTACTAGTCAACAGTTACATTCATGTCACGCTGCAATGTTCACATGGTCTGTTCCACAGAGCTAACGTAGGCCCAAATACAAGCCCCGAGCTCGATTAACGTCAGGCGACAAGCTAACAGGGCTAGCCCTGGCTAACAGGACAAGTTAATAAGTATTTTTCATAAATCATTTCCAGCTTGACAGAACTAGTTCATTTTTTTTTAGATCAGTACCCGATGCTCACACAAAGAAAAACTTACAATGCATCTCAAACCATCAAAGTTCAGGACGTCTACAGTCCTGCAAATATCTGAACAACCAGGTGATGGATCGTTAAAGACAAATGAAGCTTGGGTGACTAAGACAAGTTGTAGTTTCGCTATTCTGTGTACAAATTTCTAGTAGTTTGTGTCGCACACATCCCACTCAGAGTCTGCCAACTTAAAAAAAAACAAAAACAAAAAAAAAAACCCACACCAACTCCCGGGCAGAGTTAATTTAAAGCGTCAGAGAAACGAACGCAGTAGAAGTCGCCAACCACAAACCACGAATGAGGACGGAGAGAGCTGAATGCAGCCAGGAAGGGTTGCAAAAACAAAACAAAAATACAGCCCACCGCTCGCACGGCTCAGATAAGCATCACTGTAAGCATAACAAACTAAATTCCCCCAGACGAAGATGGCACAAGCGTCAAGTTTTTCCTAACATGCAATAAGTGACCTTCTCCTGCCTCCTACACCCTCAGGCGGACATGGTGGTCCTGCTTCTAGGAAATGGTGACTCACATGGAATGTGCTCAGTCATCCACCATATGAAAAACATCTTCAAGTCTGGTGGGGGGGGAGAAAGAGAAACCAAAAACTGAATCAGGTGTCGGTGAACAACAGACAACACCGAGGGCTTTGTGTTCACGCCACTTCTTCACATGGTAACGAAGTACCGTGTACCATTATTAAGACTCAGGAGAGTACGGCAGCTGAAGCTTGCATGCAACGCAAGACAACCATTTTAAAGCTGCATTTGTCAACTCACGAGGACCTCAGTCACACAAGCAACAGCTGAGAGGCACTCACAGCGGAGTCACCGGCTCACTCTTGTGACATATGGTGTTGTGTATTGCAAACAGGAAGTGAAGAAGACCATGATACATGTTTGTAGCACTGGATACTTTAACTAAAAGATCTGAATTTTGTGCCTTTAAAATGTATTATGCACATACTGATATTTCAGAGACGGTCCATGTTCTCTGTGTTGGCATTACAAATGTTATATTTTAATCTTTGTGTCACATGTTACTCGTCCACTCACCAGTCACTGTAGCCGGTGATGTTTGAGACAACATGGTGCCATGTATTTATAATTACACCTTCAATCAGACTGTTACTGGAAGCGAAAGACGTTTCAACAAGGAAGTAAATCTCTGACATTCTTTGTCTTTACAGACGTTATTGTCACGTCAATGTCGTCGGAGTCAATGTGTCGGAAATCAATTAGCTGCTTGATAACTTCGAAACAATCAAGTCTGTATTTTCCGTTTCCATCTGTGATAAAATTGTGTTTTTCTGTCTCGGTATGTTGAGCAGGTTAGTGTTTAGTGAGCATTACACCATCAGTCTAATAGACACAGGGGTGTTTGTCTACACTTCACTGAGACATCTAGGATGAGGACATCTTGTTGCAGTGTGCTTAAGTTTGGTATTTAATGTTGTTGTTTTTGCCAAGCACCAATACCCTGGAAGGGTCAAGTAAGAGAGTATATGTGCGTGTGTTTGTTTGACTCAAACCTGGCCGATAAAAACCCTCGAACAAGTAACGCAACTCTCACTTTATCCTGACGACTAACAGAAGAGACCACTCCACTGATTCTACGCATCGAACTGTGTTTGAAAGTCTTGGCGAGTACTACGGCATATATGAAAAGAGTTGTATACGGTACTTTGTAAGCTACCCGTCCTATTATAATTGGACTGTTTTATTGTATCTTTGTACCAATAAATAAAATGAGTATGTTGCGGCTCCAGGGAGAGCCGCTGGAAGTTGGTCAACAGAATTTAAGTATACAAACAGAAGAGATCAGGTTTAAAGTAACGCTGTAAAGTCCTCTGATGAATGAGGAAACGGGAAACTGAGTCTGAAATTAGTGGCAAGAAGGAACAAAGAGATAAAAGATGTTTGCCAACCAGGAACGAAGATGGTGAAAATAGGGAATCTTGGGGACGAGGAAGTTGCCCGCCAAACATTACTGGAATTATAATATATATATATATATTTTTTTTTGTAAAGCACTTCCTCCTTCTACTGAAACAGGCAGCCACAGTCTGGACCGGAGGGGTAACAGAAAAAAAACACATTAAAGATCGTTCACCTTTTCTCTTAAGTTACGTTTTGTACTCATTTAATTTAGGTTCATGGAGCTCAGTTTAAATTAAAAAAAAAAAAAAAGAGCTTTTTGTTACATTTATTTGTTCAATGCGTTCTATAAATGATGAAACAGATGTCAACATTGGAGTTTGGCAAACTGTATTAACATTAAATTATCTTTCTTGACAATGCTGATTCATTTTTACAAGTCATAATCACTATGTGACCATTTACAATGACCACACACACACACACACACGCACGCACACACGCATGCACGCGTATGAGCTAATCATCAAGGAATTTGTTGTGAACAAGAGCTTTGTTTGATGGACCACAGCTCAGTGAGAACTGGTTGTTCTTTATCTTCCGACACAACACAAAGAACTCGAGTCTGTATGAAGAGCATGTATACCCGTAGGGTTTTAATTTCCTCCATTAGTATGTAGTGCACTGCATTGTGGGTCAATAGTGTTGCATCAAACCACACTCGAGTCTAGATTAAGTGAACTTATTATGCGTAACAAGCACGGGTGAACTTCTGAATGCTAAACAATCTACTTGGTTAGAAATAGCATTTATGTGTAACTCAAACAGTGAGAAACACATGAGTGCAGAGGTTTACAGTCAAAGTTCAGAGATCTGTTAGAAAGTCATGTGACATCCGTCATATTATACAAGACTTGTCTTCAGGAAGATTACAGCGGTGTAGTAAAACCGTGCAACTCCTGATAAAGGAGAAAAATACCAGGATGAATAGTGAATCGAACTGTGTCCACTCCACTGTTGACAGTTTTTACCATAACAATAAAAAAGTAGTATGTTTAGGTAATCATAAAACTATCTAGTTATGTAATCTGTATTAGTTTACAGTAAATACACACACTACCATCTTCCAAACCAAGGTGTGTGTGTTATTTCATAGAATTCATCCATCTATACTGTCGACTGTTGATCTAGTGACAGATGGACCCCTCTGTGTTAATCATCCACTTCTTTCTCTTCACGGACTTTCCCCTTTAAATCCTCAGTGAACAGACCAATATTCACATCAACTATCTAACATTATTTGTGTAAAAAAAAAAAAAAAAAAAAAAGTACAAAACTGAGGAATAGCATAACAATGATAATGTCTCTCAATTGAGATATACCCATTTGAATAAGAACTGTGAAAAAAGTGTTGATTTAAGTAAGATTTAAGATTCCGCTAAAAAGGAGAGACAGGTCAGTTACGGACATGTCCGATAATGGAGGCACGTTAACCAGAAAGGCGCAACTGCTGCTAGCTAGTAGGCTCGTGAGATGAGACGCAACTGTCAGTTTGTAATTACACAAATAATTAACTACATGAACGTTGAAATGTTGTAAACATACTCACTCGGGTTGTTTTTCAGTGACAACATTGTGTTGCGTTATTTTATGTTTATGTAATGTTAGTTAACTGACCTCTGTTAGCTACGGTTAGCCCCGTTGCCTACGGTTAGCCCTGTTAGCTTGTAGCCTAACGTTAATCGAGCTCGGGGCTTGTATTGGGCCTACGTTAGCTCTATGGTTTAACGTGACGTGAACGAGGCATGCAGACATTTCTAAATAAGCAGCGTGTTGCTTCAGTACCTTGACACAGTCGATGGGGTACATGAGGCAGTGCTCCATGATTCCAGCCACGGATCCTGCCAGCATGTGTGTGCTGGTGGCGGCTCCTTGAGGCAGTCCTTCATAGTCTATCTCAGGCTCCTCCACAGAGGTCGAGGTCTCCGGAGTTACTCGATGCAACATCTGCTCCCCTGTCATTCTCTGCGAAAGAGACCCAACAAACTTCCCCGTGGCGTCCAGCAGCCTGCCGCCAATCCATCGAAGCTCTGCCCCGGCTGCGGAGCCTGTAACCCGACTGTCTACGCCCGGCGTTTCCATGGACGTTTCTCCGTGGACCTGGAGTCCAGGCAGGTGGGACCTCGGTGGGTTTGTCAAGGAAGCGGAAGCTGATTGGCCATGGTTGACTGTCAATCACTACCAGTCCCTCCAATTGGCCGAGTCTGTCTCGTAATAAAGGCGGGTAAATAAAGTGGGCGGAGTTTTAGCGTCATGTGGGTGTTGATGATTTTGTAACATCAGGAAGTCACGTGTATTTACGGGAAACGTTTTAAACGGGACGTCCCAAACTGGAATTATAACTATACAGTATATATACAAAATATACACAACTTTGGATTTAAATATCACAGTATAACTTATATTGTCTACTTCATTATCTGAACCTATTAGCTTTTACAATACGATAAGATAAGATAAGATAAGATAAGATAAGACAAGATAAGATAAGATAATATAAGATAAGATAAGATAGACTTTATTGTCCAGAAGGAAATTAATTTGTCTTGGACACACATCGTAGAGTATCTGCTGTTTAAAAAACTAAATGTAATGCTTTAATAATATTGGATAAAATAAGAGCAACATACGTGTTGTTCTACACTCTCCATGTAGATCATTTATTGTAAGTCAATTAAATTAAATTAAATTGACATTAACAGCTGCAGCAATTATGAGGAAAACTAAATGTGTAGTTTGTCACCACTCACTTTAGATATCAATTACTTTGTGGGATACAAAAAAATGCACACATGACTGTTGAATAAAATCTCACACATTTTAATCATAACTTCGAGGTGGAGACATTTTCAAACAACAATGACACAATTACAATGACAAATCAAACAATACAAACCATTAAAATGTCCCAGTTTAAGTGTCAAGCACTTCAAAATTCATGTTACTCATCTTACTCATTCATTTTACTTTCTATCACAGTGTTTTAGACAGAATAGGTCTGAAAATAAAACTATTTCCTGATTGACCTGATTTGATCATTTGCCAAAATGATGCAAAGACATTGTAATCGATGGTTTTGACAGAAAGTCTCTCTCGTGCAACAAGACGATTCTATTCAAATTGTCCTCGTTGATTTCTATCTCTTCGCTCATAAGAACGTCCGCTGTTGGTCGGGCTGAATGAAGAGGCCGGTGACAAATATGAACTCTGAAGAAGATTAATCATCTACAGCATGTTCTTACGTTACGTGTCCACGTGGTGGCGCATGTTGCATTTGGTGTTCCTCGAGTTGGGGGTGAGAATGTGTGGCGAGATCCTTTCAAACTCTTAAAAATCCTGATTCAAATTTACAAATTGTGTTTTATATATACCCAGGTCTCTTACACACACACACACACACATGCACACACACACACACACACACACACACACACACACACACGCACACACACACACACACGCACGCACACACACGCGCACACACACACACACACACGCACACACACACACGCACACACACACACATGCACGCACACACACACGCACGCACACACACGCACACAGTGAGAGACTAACCCCTAACAGATACTTCTGCTCATTGAATAATAAAATGCATAATCCGAATACAAAATGTTTTCCAAAATGACGTCGGTATACCTGACGTTCAGTTAAAGAAAAATAAATACATAATGGCTCTATTTACATCACACGGCCACGCCACGCCCCCTTTCGGATTAACCGGAAGTGGGTGTGTCGTGATGTGCTACACACCAATGGCCGCAGCCGGACCGCCCAATTACGTATTTGACGACGTAGCCGACCGGAAGTCAGTTGGATTTGCGACCGCTTCCTCGTCTTCTTCTTCTTCTTCTTCTTCTTCTTCTTCTTCTTTCTTTTCTTTGAAATAATCTCATGATGATAACATCGTTTCTGTCGAAGGACTACTTTACCTGACGGACTGTGCTGTCATGGCGGAGGTGTGAGGCACGTGTAGGTGAGTTTATAGAACGCAGAATGAGAGCATATGGATACATTGTAGTCAGTAATACACGAATGAACTGTTCTATTTATTTATGCAACACTTTCATCTTATATAACTGGGACATAAGCCAGTTCTTCTACTGGCCTCTGTTAGAGATGTCACACTAATAGCATGGGACCATCTAAAATGAACATGGAGGTATTTATATAATATAATATACTACACTTTACTACATCATACCCATAGTACGTCTTATATTTGATATTATATTCTGATCTATATCATGCAGTAGTATATCTACACATCATGTTACACTATTACTACCTTTCACCTTCTATTGCTTCTCATATTATATCATAATTTACCTTTTTATACCTTTATGTTACTCTGATATTTGCATCATTAATGTCTCGCTCTTTTTTGTGTTCTGTTTTTACTTTTAAATCCCTTTTAATTATTTACTTCTTATACTTTATACTGTGCTGCTGTTTCTCCCCGGCCGAATTTCGCCACATGGATCAATAAAAGTATATCTTATCTTTAATACTCCAAAGTGCAGTGTTGTCGTTGTACTTGTACTTGTACTAGTAGATTAGAGTAATGACTTCATTTATGGTCCCATTGCAACGTTACAGCAGCAAAGTCCCACACTGTTAAATGTCCTACTGTAACCCTCCCTGGCACATCCTTTCTATATTAATATACACTTTTATAATATACTTGTTTTAACGTACTGTTATCTGTTTATTTACCTTGTTTTTAAATGATGTCTCGATTATTGTTTATTGTTGTGCACCATTCACCAAGTCAAATTCCTTCTATGTATAACGTACTAATAAACGCTTCTGATTCTGATACTCATCAATAAATAGAATAAACTATGAATAGACGCGACTGAAACCAGGACCATACCCTAACACATACGCTGTACTATGTTAGTTTAGGGCTGCAGCTAATGATTATTTTCACAACTGATTATTCATAAAGCACTGAGCAGTATTCTCTCCCTCTTTTCCCTTCCTGCAGGAGAAAAGCCACGACCATGAGGTGACGTCTGTGACATCTTGAATCATTTCTCCCACCGGCACATATGGCGAGGTAATAAACTGACAACAGCATCGACGAGAGCGTGATGTGGTTCGCGTTTAACATTATATGACCTGGTTTAACTCTGTGCTCCTCCTCCTCCTCCACAGGATCACTTTTTCCTGCCTGCCGGCCTCCTGGTACTGCAGCGTGTCCCTGCTGTCTCTGGGCTGCGCTCCCAGGCAGAGGCTGCTGCTGCTCTTCATCACCTCCGCCCTCCTCCTCCTGGGAACCTACCAGAGGCAGCTGTGGAGCGCGGGGCCGCGGCGGCCCGGGTCCCGAGTCAACAAGTGAGCGAACGTCAGAGCGAATCCTTAGGCCTCGTTGTGCTGGAACTCTGCACAAAGACAGAACCACCGTTACAGGGTACATTTTCTGTAAAGATCTTAAGCCGTGGGATAGCGGACGTGCACCTTCAGGGAAGATCAACAGTCTATCAAAAAATCGAATTCAATGTAGTAAACATGTAGTAAACATGTAGTAAACAGTTCCACAATGAGAGCCATGATGGGGAAATGTGCTGGAATCACACAACAAAATATTGCTTTAACAAAAACACTAATTAATTATTGAAGAAAGAAAACATTAATAAAATAAAACACTCTGTAGGTCACACAGTTTGACCACATGGCTGTTTTCAGTCCTCCGTGTGAACGTGGAAGCGAGCCAGCTGATAACGAGCTCTGTGAGAACAGTTATCTCATCTGTTTTTGAGGCCGGACGGCTCAACGCGACCTGAACTCACTTTGTGGGAACGACTGCAGGTGCTTCCATCAGAAACCAAGGACACGCAGAGATACAGACGGGACTTGTTAAAGGCACTCGGTAGTTTGTGTGTTTTTTCTACATTTAGTTTAATCAGACGTGGACTAAAAGCAGGAGAGTGCTATAAACAATGTGTCTGTTTCAGGGTTTCATCCAAAGCACCATACGTGGAATATTTTGTGTTGGTGTAGCCTGTGGGAGGCAAACCTATCTGTTGCCAGACATGAAAATATTCCCTCCTACGCTTCTTTTAATGAACATGTACTCTGTATATATATATATATATATATATATATATATACACAAGGAGCGTATTCTTCATCTCGTGTTTCTGTGTTCTGTCTCCTCCAGATACCTCTCCATCGCAGAGTCCATGGAGGTCACCAACGTCTTGGACCCGGCTCTGAATTATGGGATCGTGGTGGACTGTGGCAGCAGTGGCTCTCGGGTCTTTGTGTACTACTGGCCCCCCCACAACGGGAACCCTCACACGCTGCTGGACATCCGACAGATGAGGGACCGCGACCGCAAGCCGGTCGTCAAGAAGATCAAACCCGGTGAGGAGGCGGTTTGTTCTTTTGTCACATTTCATCGCGAGACCGCCTGTGATTTTAGTACGATTTTAAAAAAGCTAAACTACTAAATCGAATCCATCTGCTCCTCGTGAAATCTTTAGAGGAAACAATCTTCTAAACATAGAAACATGTCTGCACGTCAGCGCAGGTGTTTCTCCTGATTCATAGTTCAAAAGCTGTTCGAGCTGCTGTGCTTGTATCCGACTCTGTGACTCTTTGTCAGCTCATAAAGTCATTAAAAAGCTGTGACAGCGATCCCACAGTAATAAGTCATCACTGTCTCTACCTGTGATTATACGTAACATGCAGGCTAATAATGCTTATAATCAGTTATTTATCAAAAGCATTGAAGTGCTGCATTAACTTCTGTCGGTCACGGGAGTTTCATCTTGTTGGGTCCTGATGATGCTGGATGACGAGTTCCCCGTCTAGTCTGCATGACGTCATGTTTACTCCTCTTGGTTCGTTTGTAAGAAGTCAGTGTGAACAGGAACCGGACCAGAACTAACCCTGTTTCCCCCCCCATGGTGCAGAACTACAGGTGTGACAAACGTTGCCGTATACGTCACTAACAAAAGAAGAGATGCCCCTTAATAGTCATTTGAATGCAAGCGTTATAATGAGTCGTCTCTTATGCGTCTTATGCTCTCTCTTCAGGTATCTCCACGCTGTCCAACACGCCGACGCAGGCCAGCGACTACCTCCACCCTCTGCTCCGCTTCGCTGCCGCTCACGTCCCGAGGAGCAAACACAAAGAGACGCCGCTCTACATCCTCTGCACCGCTGGCATGAGGCTGCTGCCCGACAGGTCGACAAAAGCTTTTACGTGAAGTTCCAATAACTTTAAATCATACACTCAACCTGTCCATTATAAATGCAGTCTTAATACGACAGTCCTGCAGTAACTCCTTCATGAAGGTATAATGTTCAGCTGAGCTGTATTGCGTCATACAGAGAGGTGTGTAAAGCTGTCCTCATTGATATAAATACAAACACCTTTCAGTGTAATGTGATACTATTCTACAGCACCGCAAACACAACCTCTCTCTAAAACAAAATAAACCATATATAACCTTCATGAAGGGAGGATTTCTGTTGTATTAGACGGCATTAAGGTGCATTTATATATATTATATATATATATATATATATTATATATTCTGGTTTCTCTGTATGTAGCCAGCAGGCGGACATCTTGGACGACCTGGTCACTGATGTTCCCCTGGAGTTCGACTTCCTGTTTTCCAGCTCCCATGCTGAGGTCATCTCTGGGAAACAAGAAGGTGAGCTGATTGTTTGCTCTGAGCTGCTTTGAGTACTAGTCTATATATTAACCTAAAGAGAATGCAGCGTTCACTGTGGCAGGAATGATCCTTAAAGCCGCTCTAACTGCTTCCTGTGTTGTGTTTGTGTGTCTCCCCATCACGGTTGTGGTGACGTGTTTCCTGTTTCCTCTCAACCCTGAAGGAGTGTATGCATGGATTGGCATTAACTTTGTGTTGGGCCGCTTCGATCATGCTGATGAAGGTGAGTGTGAAGGAGTTAAAGGGTCAGTTCAGATGTTCTGAAGTGTGTGTGTGTGAGGTTCTCCTCCACAGTCAGTGTTCTACTACAGTAGATGAGTTTATAGAAGACTGTGGAGAAGAACCTCATACAAACACACTTCATAACATCTGAACTGTCTCTTGAACAAGACGTATCTGAAATTGACACTGACTCTTTTACAAAACAAACAAACACAATAACAGAATAACGCTCTAATATCTTCATGTTTCTCAGAAGACGCGACAGTTGAGGTGACAACGGGGTCTCAGAACCAGCGGCCAATCAGCAGGCGGCGCACAGTGGGCATCATGGATATGGGCGGAGCTTCACTGCAGATTGCCTACGAGGTGCCGAGCGCCATCACCTTCACTTCACCACAAGAAGTAAGGTTAACCGTTAGGTGGCTGTTATCGATGAGGGCTGCAGCTGACGTTTGTCTTCATTCGGTTAATCGGCTGGATTATTTTCTGGATCGATCATTTTGTCTGTAAATCGACACAGTTGCAGATTAATGGACTAATTGTTCGCGCATCGATTCTTGACATTAAAATCATTATGTTGAGAGTTCATGTCTCTGTATTGTGTTTGTTTGTTCTTTAGGAGGAGGCAGGGAAGAGTGTCCTCGCTGAGTTTAATCTGGGCTGTGACGTCGAGCACACGCAACACGTCTACAGAGTCTACGTCACCACCTTCCTCGGCTTCGGGGGAAACATGGCGAGGCAGCGATACGAGGACCAGCTGATCAACAACACGCTGGCAAAGAACAGGTTCAGACTTTATTAATATTTGTTCAAGCTGCTTTCATCTCCTCTCATTTCTTTTCAACGCTACATTCCTCACAACCTCTCTCTGCCTTTAAAGCAACGTTCAATTCACATCTATTTGGATGATTGTTGCCTGTAAACGTTGAGCTTTCCATGCTCCTGTTGGTCCAGGTTTCTCACCACGCAGACGGGCCTGAGCGAGGACCAGCCGTACCTGGATCCCTGTCTGCCGGTCAGCCTGTCGGACACAGTGGTGAAGGGCAACCGCACGGTGTACCTGAGGGGTCAGGGCGACTGGAGCCGGTGTCGAGAGGCCGTGCGACCTTTCCTGGGCCTCCACAACGGCACCATGTCACCGGGGGGCGTCTACCAGGTACGATCGAACCCGGCAGACGCCCTTTGTCTTCAAGTCACAGCTCACTGGACAACCTGGATTTGATTCCTCACAATGCAGAACAATCACTTTTAACGCCATGTTTTATTTTTTAGGCTCCCATCAATTTCAGCAACAGTGAGTTCTACGGTTTCTCAGAGTTCTTTTACTGTATGGAGGACGTCCTGAGGCTGGGAGGACCGTATGACAGCCACAAGTACTCCAGAGCTGCTACGGTATGTATCCTTTCACGAGGAACTTGGCTGTAAAATATCATTTCACTTTTTTTTCCTTTTTCTGGTTGAACATTGTGTCTGTTCTTGTTTTCCCTGCAGGACTACTGCCTCACCAAGTGGTCGATACTGAAACAGCGTCTGGACAACAAGCTGTTCTCTCAGCAGGCCGACGTCTACAGACTCAAGTAAGTTCGTCTTCATCTTCATCTTCTGCCAATAATGTTTCAGAAAGAAGCAGATCTTTCATCGTATTCTCTGTTCGGGCAGACCGATACTCACAAGCTCCTCATTTGGTATCGATTCCTTTAGAAAAATAAATCAACAATAAATGATAGAAATACAAACGGCATCACTTTCAAACGTTTCTGTACGTTAGTGCCAAAACAGCCCTGATACGTCTGAGTGGTCACATGACACAGTCGCACACATCAAACATGTGAGAAAACGTCAGGAAGGAAACGTAGATAAAAACAACACACCCTGAAAGTTAAATGGAGTTTTATTATTTAATCAAAGTATTTCTGTCAAATACTTTTTTGACACTAAACATTTTACTTACTTGTACTCAGCTTTGCTTTTATAGTAAATGTATTAATTATGTGGTGAGAGGATCTCCTGCAGATAGAAAGCACAGGAAGAGTATTGTTCTGTCATATTATATCAGAGATAAACACAGTTGCAATATTCATTCATTCACAATATTTCATTTATTTAATCTATTTTAATAGTTACAGCATGTTGCGGATTTGTTTTTAGGTGCAAAGCGTGTCCTTTACGACCACAAGGAGGTGCTGTTGTAGTTCATATTTGTGCCACTTGTCTGCAAAACAATAACATGGTTAATAAAGATGCAGGTCATTGAGTTATTCAAACCTTCAGTGGATGTAAGAAAAACAATCAAAAACAGAAACTCTGATTTAGTAAATTAAACTCTTTCTGAATATAAAGCAGGCTCGTCACTGAGCTTTGGAAAGGACTTGATTTTTGGAACAATTAACACGTTTAAGTGTTAAAAGTGGAGAAATAGTCGAGGCCGACTGTTCGACCAGCGAGCAACAGATGTGTTAATGATTTCACAAAGAAAGTTCAAATATTTAGCATCAAAGATGGAACTTAATCAACAATCAATAACTTTAACTGTCCAGCTGTCACCCTGCTCTCTCGTTCTCTCAGGCTTCAGTGCTTTAAGTCGGGCTGGATGTACGAGGTGCTGCACTCCGGCTTCCGGTTCCCAACCGACTACCCGAATCTGAAAACGGCCCAGCTGGTTTACGACAAGGAGGTGCAGTGGACTCTGGGAGCCATCCTGTTTAAAACCCGATTCCTGCCTCTCAGGTAACGCCATCATTTACGACACACACACACACACACACCTATGAAAGAATCTTACTCCTAAATGTGTCCGTTTCAGGGTGAATCTATATGATGTCATCGCTGTAGTTGGTGTTTAGTTTGAATCTCCTACCGTCACAGTCTGACCTCCAGCAAACAAATCTCAATATGCACATTTATTTACACAATGAATGATAAACATACGAGTCCTCCATCTTCTATCACGGTGACTCCTTTTCTCTGGAGTAGAAGACGTTTATATATATTTTAAGACAATGGAAAGATGGTTGTTTACTTAAAATAGTTCCAAAACTAATCGTCTTCACATTAATATACCAATTTTAAAAGGTGTGATTGCACGTTTTAAATCAATAAAAGATCACTTTGGGTTGGAATGGTGTCAAATAAAGACTTTCCTAAAGAGGGTAATTAAAGTAGCTTACTACTTAAATATCTCTAAGTGACTGAGAGGTGCAAGTTGACGTTTTGCTGTTCAGCATCATAGATAATTTGGTTTTCCTCTCCAGGGACCTGCGGCAGGAAACCCTGCGACAGAACCAGAACCACCCCAGCTGGCTGCGCTCCTCCTTCCTCTACAACCACCACCTGTTCTCGCTCTGCATCCTGGTGGTGGTGCTGGCCATCCTGCTCTACATCCTGCGCCTGCGGAGGATCCACCAGCGGGAGCAGCGGCAGGCCGATGCCCTGAACCTCCTCTGGGTCGAGGAGGGAGAGGCCCTCCTCGCCTGAGAGGCCGCGTTATAGTACAGCTGACGAGTGCGACGACGGAGGACGGATGAGGAACCTGGAGATTACTCACCAGATGCTCGCTTGGCCACTTTATTGAGAAACAGCCGAGTACAGAGAGTTTTAATGAGCCGGGAAATCAAACTCCTCTGTATGTTCTTTGATCTGGCAGCTTCAAACTCAGATCCCTTCTCAGACCGGAGAGACGTTCTCTGTGTTCACTTTCTTCTGTGGAAAGAAGAAAGGAATCAACTCGGCACAACAGGATGGAACAACTACCATCGGGGTGTTTTGTTTTAATTGTGAAGAAAAGTGAGTAAGACAAGTACGTGTGTGTGTGTGTGTGTGTGTGTGTGTGTGTGTTAGGTTAGGTAGTAATATGGGACACATTTTAAAATACACAAATACTGTATATCTACACAAATATCCCTATAACTATCATCAGTTAGCTTCCCATTTGATCCAAAGCCATGTTTTTATTTATGTCAGTTAGCCTGGATTCAGTGGGGGGGGGGGTGTATCTCACCTGAGGGACAGAGGTGGTTCATCATAAGAAGATGGATTTGTAGACCATTCACACCCATGCTAAAGGCACATAAGAAAGAAATGCAGCTCAAGTGGTTCCAACGGGATTCATGTGTTTTATATTTAAAATATTCATGTGGGAGAAAAGTAAGCGCAACACCTGCTAGCAGCGCGGCCGTGGACTTAATTTAATGTTAAAATTAGATATCAGCCGAGCTTGTTAATGTTAAAACCTGCGTTAATGTTAGCCAGCATGTTTAGAGTTAGCTGTGACATAACTGTTAGCATGCTAATGTTGGTTAATTTATCTTAAGGTACAGCTGAGTTCAACGAAGTGTAGCTGAGCTTAAAATGACCACTGTTCAGGGGTTCAGGTGACCACTTATTTTTCTCTACATCTGTTCTTCATACGAGTGCGTCATGTGATCTTTGAGTATCTTCATCTGGTGACGCATTTGAACATTCCTCTCTGCAAACAAGAGAGAGAAGAAGCTCTCAGGTTTTGGTTCACCTTAAATCTCTCTTTCACTGTATTAAATATACTCCTCATCAATACGGTTAAAACCAGACCACCACCGCTGTCCTGCCAAGACCTCCGATCCAGCTCAGGTGTTGATCCGAGGGAAGCTGAGATGGAGCGGAGAGGTCTGCTCAGTGTTTGGCTGAGCGGGTGCTGAGAGCAGACGAAGGCCTGCAGGCTCCTGATTCAAACAGATGCGCTCCGATCTGATCTGAATAAAGATCCACGGACAAATAGAGAGAAGGAAACCGGTCAAAACGGATGCTTGGATGAAGCAAAAAAAAGTATATGTGAGATGTGAATGTGTGGTTTTTAAAATGAAGCCATTTTGAGGAAAAAAAGCCACAAAAAAGAGGGTCCATTGTTTTCAGTTTTATGCATTTCATATCTGTAAATGAAGCCAGTTAGTTTTTCTTTGGGAGTCTTTTGTTATGTGCTGAGGGTGCAGCTCTGCAGCAAACCATGACGATGCAAATATGTGTCTGAGAAGCAAACTTCTAGAGAAGTTGAATCATGTGTTGATCCCACAGTGGGAGTTTTTTGTCGTTGATTTGTTGTTAACCTCCGTCTCCTCGTCTGTACTTCAAAAACACACTTCCTGCACCGGTTACAGGAGTCTACAGCAGCCACGGTGTGACGTTTAAAATCACTTCCTTTGACCTCGTTGTGAGGTGTCCAGGCTTCCTGCTGCTCCTCTGATGTTTTTGACTCCTGACCTGGGACCAGTGGTGGACTGTGTCCTCCCAGAGCTGGGCATTGTGCAATGTTTAACAGGGATTCACTGAAGGGGACTTTTTATTTTCGTTTTTAAATTGAGGTACCTTTTTAACATCAATGTGAATAGAAACTATTCCAATAAAAGATCCTTTTTGTAATAAAAAAATCTGTCTCGAGTTTTGACTGTTGTGTGCCTCCAACTATATTTATATATAAACCACTTACCAGGTGACGCCAGTAAGTCCTTGAGGGTTCAGGGTTTGAGGCTTTAGGGGACATTTGGGATTTGGGCCTACAGCAGCTGCTCCTCTGTAAGACAACAGAGGGTTAAAGTGAACCCGGAAGCTGGGGGAGGAGCCTGATCGGCAGTTGGCTCGTGACTGTAGTGTGGCCTGCTGGCGGCGCTGTGCAGCGTGCCTCGATCACACGGTCACCTCACCTACAACTTAACACCTGGAAGTCAAGTTTTTTAACAATATAATAATCAGTTCTACTTTCATTATGTCCAAACATAGCGCAGCACGTTTCTGAAGGGAAGTTAAAGGAACACAGACACCGTTCTTATCTTAAAAATATACTTTTAATACAACAGCTGCATATAAATATTAAAATATACATTATACAGGTGTACAGTACACTCACACAAAACAAAAAATATTAGGCTTCTATTTGTACGGCACTTCTTGTATTTCTTTTTTTAAATTTTTTGAACTATTTTCTCAAAGGTAACTTACTGACGAAGGACATTAAAGATGAGTTAATGTGTTAACAGGTCCGAAGTATTACTGTAGTATCGTGATTACTGGGTTACGGAGAGACGGACAGAAAAGAGAAGAAGTATAAGAGTTGCTGTACATTATATGACACGGCGTTGTGGAATGTTTGCTCTTCTTCATTCAACATGTTTTCAGATGGATTTAAAGATATTCGGTCTTCTCTCGTCTCACTTAGAACGAAAACCGGCCCTCCGATCCCGACAGAACCGGCTCACTCGGGTTTTTGGTTAAAGCCACAAAGGTTTGTCTCTCAGCGGCCTCTCGTGTCTCATCATCACAGTTCAGATGTTTTCAAAACAGGTTGTTTCCGGGTCTTTTAAATGACCTTCTGGGTGGTTTTTGTTGAAAGATCACCAGAGACTTTAATATTTCGTTAATTAAATAAAACAGATGCTTATCTTTGAATGTAGTGACGAGACACCAGGGGCGCAAACAACACCTGCAAGTCTAAAACTGACACCTCCCTCCATCCAGATGGAGGTTTCCAGGCCAGTGACACAGGAGGAGGAGGAGGAGGGGGCATCAAGATGCAGACTGCAGCAGCGAGCTGCAGAGACTCCTCCTCCTCCTCCTCCTCCTCCTCTGTAGCTGTCAGCGCGTGACAGCGGGGTGGAGGTGGCGGTGGGATTAAGAGGTCTCGGATAAACTGTTCCGAGGCCCCATCGGCTCCAAGTGCCGTTTCCCCCGGCCTCCTCTGCCCCGGAGGCCCGTCGCCTTTGAAACCGGAGACCCCTCCCCCCCGGGCACCCAGAGGTCAGCGGCGTCCCACCAGTGTCAGCTTACTGATGGGTCTATTCAGCCCGGGCCTCAACGGCGACGGTGGAGAAGGACGGCTCCTCCGTCTCTCCACTCTACTTAGTGTTTTTAATAGAAGACAGTCCGTCTCCAACAGAAGATGTGGCTCACAGTCAAACGCTGCTGGAGTCAATGCATTTAAAACAGAGTTCCTCATTAGCAGCCCCTCTAGACATCTCAGGAACCTGGTGAGCTGAATCTCTTCTGTCTTTAGGGTTTCAAGCTGTCGCTGACCCACAAAACAGCTGACGTGGATCCAGCTTTCACTAAAAAAAACTCTGTTTACTTCCTTCTGTCTCCAGCAGACGGTGACGCCCGATGAGGAAGTGACTCAGATAAGAGTCGTCCGAGTTTAAGTAAAGTCATTGTCCAAATTAGGTCAGACTTCTGCTGAATCTCAGAGCTGAGAGCATCTGTCTTCTTCAAAATCCCAGCGGTGCCTCGGTTGACCCGGGCCCGGGTCAACCGAGGCACCGCTAACCCGAGCCGGGTTCCTGGAAAGCAGTCACGTGAAAACCCGACCAGGCTTTCTGGGGTGACATCACACTTATCTGTCTTTGGCATCAGAGCTTTAAAAGCTCAGACCACCACGAGGAAACTTTTCCATCTGGACCACAAGACTACATTTCCCAGGACCACGAGCGAGACCTGAAGCAGGTGAAGAGTTTAAGGTCCGCTGCTCTTTTCCTGGTGGAGGCAGGAAATGGAGTTTCCATAGGAGGCGAACGTTGCAGCGCTTTGTAATGCGGCCCAGACGGGAGTCAAGGTTGAAAAACAGAAAAGGGGGGAATGCTCAGCTAACAGCCGCTCCTCTGAGTCCATGTTCACAGGAACCGGTGCCAGCTACTGTTTCCATGTATAGGCTTTAATCTGAAAGGGAAATGTTTTGGTTGTCTTTTTATTAAACATTTTTTGGCAGAATATGTGATCGGACCCAACGCAGGGTTTGTTTTTCTTCTAAGTAAAGTCAAGTGAAGTCAGCTGGGAGCAGTAGCCATGGGTTCCTTTACCTCAGATCCGGCATAACAACACAGGTCCCTGTGGCTCTGAGCTGCAGGCACTTCAGAAAGGCGTCATTATGCAAACAAACGGCCTCTTACAACAGAACATGCCGGTTACTGCCCCCCCCCCCCCTGCTCACATTTGCATTGCTAGTTATTTCTTACAGTAGCACCGTACTCAAACAAAACCGAGACCGGTCGGTCACAAAGCGCTGAGCGCCCACGACGAGCCTCTCAATCGATAGCTGTCTTCAGACAGAAAGGTTCTCTCTCTCTTTCGGAGGATCTGAAGCGCTCCACCAAGGTGCTTAGTTGCTCTTTCTTACCACAGTGCAATTCAAAGAGTCCTTGACTTTTTTTTTTAATGTCCAACAACATTTAGAGACCTTGGACAGGTCGGTCTACAGCTTCGGCAAAGACCACAGAAGAAAAGGCAGATTTTTAAAAAATCTCTCATGACCGACGCCCACGACGTGAGCGGTGGCAAATACAACAAAATCATAATAAAAAACAACAACGAAACAAATCTTATTTGCTTTCTAGATCTACAAGTGTTATTCTCTCTAGTTGTCGTTGCAATTCAGGAAGGTGCGCTACATAAGTCAGGTCAGGGGGCTGAGGAGAGGGCTCGGGGGACTCTTTCCCTTTTGTGGGTGAATAATAAAAATGAAGCCGAGCTGGAAGGCCGACCACACAGCAAACCGTCAGTCGCTTCCTGTCTGTCTGTCTCGCTCGGGTCCGTGACAGTAGTGCATTTTGGGTGAATAGAACGTCGTCCTTTTTAACGGACCATGACAACAATCACAAAATATGTCAGTCGCCCCCCCCCCCACGAAACAAAACGATGTGTTAATGGTTGGCAGCATCCGGAGCAGCGAGCGCTTTTGGTGTCTTGAGTGGTTTCAGTATCTTTGGTCAGTTTGAATTAAGGTGCAGTTTCTTTTTCTTTTTCTTCTTTTAGACTTTGCTTACATTTTAATGGGATGAAGGGGTGTTAAAGAGGGGGGGGGGGTTAAAGCACCAAGGACTTTGTTTCCCTTAACAGCTGGACTTGTTGCAGATGTTCCAGATGCCGATGCAATGCGAATGGTATGCAGTGCTTCTATAGGAGCCCAGCTAAAAATATATATATATATTTTTTTTTTTTCCCACTTCCTTATTTTAAGCACTTCCTTTATCCTCAAATGCCCCCTGTGGCCCCCGCCTCACTACCGGCCCCCCTGCCGACAACTACGACCATCTACAAAAAACAGTGCAATGTCTATTCATAGGCACACTGGGATACAGATACAGCACACAGAGAGGGAGAGAGGAACGCTATATACGCTCATACAGTATGTATATATACACACACACACACACACACACACACACACACACACACACACACACACGGACAGACGGACAGAACACAGAGACGTCAGCAGCAGCAGCAGATCTGGCCTGGCGGTGGTTGTGGTGCAGCCTGCAGAGACGGAGCGGTGAAGACGGTTTGGAGGGCCAACAGCAGACGACCAGGAGCAGGGTGGCAATTTACTGCCATTTTGTTTAGGCTACTCCTTCTTCCTCCTCCTCCTCCTCCTCCTCCTCCTCCTTCCTCTTCTTCTTCCCAGCATCTCCACCCTCTTTGCTTATACTCGAGTGTGTACATCGTCGAGGAGCGTGGTCAGTTGGTTGGTGGTGCTGGGAGGGAGGAGGCGTGGAAAGAGACGGGGGAGAGGAGGAGGTTGGGGGAGACGACGGGTGAGTTTAGCCCGCCGCCTCATCACCTCCCTGCGGGGGGGGCTCTTTGCGTTGGTTCGGACCGCCCGCGCTGGCCGCCAAAATCCTCTGCACAAAGTCTTTGGTCCGCCCAGCGACTAAAGGACCTTTAAATTGGGACGGTGTGATGGAAAGAAGAGAAAGACTCCTTAAAAGATGAGGGTCAACATGGCAGAATATGTCAACTACTTAAATCCTGTTTCTAGATTATATTTTCACTATTAGATAAAATAATAATAAAGCACACTGCTAGGTATTGGAGAGCATAACATATGTCGCTAACACGTTAGCATGAAGCTCCAGACCCTTGTATATTTATCACATAACGGGACAGACTGCACGCATTTCTTTAAGATTTGTGGAGTTGGTCGTGTTTGTGTTGCTCACCGCTGGACTCTCGGAGGATGTCCTCCAGACGTTGGGTCATCCCTCGCTCGTCCGTGTCCTCCTCCTCGCTGCTCTCCACCCGCAGTCGGATCACCTCCTTGATCTGCAGCAGAGCTCCCAGCAGGTTCTCTGTGCAGCGAAAAACACAGTTACAACTAATACTTTCATCACCTGAAGCCCGATGAAGCAGGTGATGAAAAAAGAACACCTGCAATGACGTCACTGATTGACAGCTTCAATCCGTATTTCTGTTTTTAAATGTTTTTAAACTGCAGCTTGTCCATCAAAGCACTTTGTAAACTCTGTATTCAACAAGAGAAGTCAAAGCTTCATGTGATAAAGCTGCATTCCCTCTAGTGTCCACCAGGGGGCGACTCCTCTGGTTGTATAGAAGTCTATGAGAAAATGACTCTACTTCTCTCTTGATTTATTACCTCAGTAAACATTGTAAACATGAGGTTATGGTCTCAATCTCTAGTTTCAAGTCTTCTTCAATACAGCATGATGTTCATTTAGTACATTATGGTCCATTTAGAGTCAAACAGACCATAAAGCAGGGGATGCTTTAGGGCGGGGCTTACTGTGATTGACAGGTCTCTACCAGAGACGTATACGACGTCTCTACGTCTCTCCTCCTCAGTCCAAATATGGTTACTTCCTGTTCACTGGTTGCAAAAAGTCAAGATGGCGACGGCGAAATCAGCAAACTCGAGGCTTCAAAACATCAGCCCACAAACCAACGGGTGACGTCACGATGACTACGTGACCTTCTTATATTCAGTCTGTGTTTGGGACTAACGTTGAGGTTTGATGGTGGACCAACAGATCAGACTGGGTCTGAACTGGGCAGCTTCCTGGTGTGAATGTGCTTCGATAAGAATCATTGGACCCTTCTGTTATTTTGGCTCCCTGCTCCTGTTCGTGGTCATGTGACCTGGTGGCGCCATGACACCCCTCCTGTTGCCGTGACGCCCCTCCTGTCAGCTTCGTCTGGATCGGAATCCTCTTTTGTCTGTGTGTGTGCGTGTGTGTGTGTGTGAGTGAGTGTGTGTGGTCGAAGGACCACAGTGGATCTGACCATTTCCTTCGACTCTACATCTCACACACACACACACACACACACACACACACACACACACACACACAC